GATTACATACTTGAAAAAATCTCATCTGCATTATTTGCAATAAAACTATCAAATAACTCAAGCATCCAATTAGTTGATAGCTTTATTTTCTTTTTGGTGTCTGCAGATGCTCCGGCAGGCTCTCCCATGCGCCTCTTCATTGGTTGGTCTTCGTCCCCAATTCCTTTAAAAAACCCACCCGGTGCATTTTTGACAATTTCTTCTGCAGTCTTAAGAAAGGTTATTCTTTTTCTTAAGTCATTATCCCAGGCCATCTTTGGCGAGCTTCTGGGCTGCTCTGCTTTTAGCATATTTAGAAACTTTAATGCTTCTCTAGAGTCGTAGAAGCGGATAATATTCTCCTTTCCTTTCTTTATGCTATCAATTACGTCTGACTCCTGTGTTGGTTTAAACTCTTCTGCTGCAGTATATACCACAGTGCCTTGGTTTTTATCTTCTGTGCAGCTGTCTGCTCCCTTAGGCACTTCTCGCTGGGATATCGTATACTTCACTACAAAGTTGTTCTTTTCTCCTGTAAGCAGAGCATGCGCCTTTTGGGCTGCTCTTAAGTCATAAAATGAAACAAAAAAGACTGAATGCTTACTGTTCATGATAAAGTGCTCTCGTACAGGCCCTGCTGCTTTGCACGTGCGGAGCAGGTCACTATGCGACACAGTTTTGGGAAAGTTCGTAATAAGAATAGTTCGCGTAATGTTTTCTTCCATATGCTTTGAAATAATTTGCAGAGAATTTCTTTTAACCAATGGCACAACACACATACGATGACTCAATAAAATCTGCAGTAGAAAAGTCAATTATTCTTCTGCACAAAGGAGAGGTAGACATAACAGACGAGATGGAAACATTTAATGAGATAGACCTCACAGGCAGAAAGGACCTTGAAGAAGCACTGCAGAGACTATACAGTGTAGACGCACTTCCGTGCATACTAGCATATGGGCAAGTCTTTTCTATTGAAGAAATAGAAGCAGTGAAACAAAAAGAGAGAGAGTTCAATGAAAGCGAGTATAATGCAGCAATAGACATGATAAAAAGAAACAAACGAGTTATATTTATAAAAGGAACACCTAATATGCCCCAGTGCAAATTTACAAGAGAGCTTATAAACATGCTGAAAGAAGAAGGTTTAGTAGCCGAGAGTGACTATAAGAGTGTGAATGTCCTGGATTCAGTGACAGTAAGGGAAAAAATAAAGGAGTATGGAGACTGGCCAACTTATCCACAAGTTTATATAAACCAAGAGCTTGTGGGTGGCCTGGATGTTCTTAAAGTAGAAAGAAAAAATGGAACAATCAGGTCTATTCTGGATATAGAGTAAGCTGTGCAGTATTATAGAGTATTTCAATGTTTCTGTATTTTCGGAGCACTAGTAAATTAAATTTAGTTTGGATAATAGGATAGGCTGGTTTATAGCCAATTTTTCAATATATTTTTATGAATTATTCTGCTTTATTTTAAAGTGTATACACGAATTATTTCAAATAAATACGAATTATTTATAATTAAATGAAAAATATGTATAATTTATATTTTCAGTTCGGGTTAGGCTGTCTTTGCCTACAATATCATCACCATTAACATTTATTGGAGAAAATTAAAGAAAACAAAGCATATTATAAAGGCCGGCCAAGCAGCGCCTTAGAGTAGGGGTTTAAAGACTATACTCTTTGGACATACTAATGCAGAGTGCATCCGGCTCTAGTTCACT